CGGACCTACGCACTGCCCATCAAGCCATGTTGTGGCGGCATCCCACATACAAAAATGGAGAAAGACTGGCACAGATGTTAGCTCAGCGACAGTCTTCCTCAGGCAAAAAGAGGAAGATTGGCAACAAATGTTAGCTCAGAGCCACTCTTCCTCACCAAAAAAGAAATCATTATAATTCAAATCAACAAATATATATTCATCCCTACTTATGTGTAAGGCATTATGCAAGGAATCAAAAGGGTGAATAAAAAATGACCCCTGATCTCCAGGAACTACAATCTAGAAAACAGGAGAGAACAAGTTCACAAGTGACTTTAATATAACTTAAGAGCTGTGTGTGTCCCATAAACGTGGTATAAAATAGGGCTCCGGGACATTCAAGAGGAGTTTCATCTGGTTGGTGAGATGACAAAGGCCCAATAAAAGGGGTGATTTTTACAATAGAATTTGAAGGCAGGGAAGCTAATTCCAGGGAAAGAGCATAGATAAAGAAATAATGATTTGTTACGGGAACAGCAAACTGTTTATTTCCAAAAAATATATATTTTTTAAGCAGAAACCATGTTACAAATGAAATCTTACATAGAACTCCAATATATAGAACACAAATGTAGTATTTTATTAGGATAAGTGTATTTTATGAGTTCAAATTGACAGCATTTACTCATTATGAAGTCAAAAAATGCGAACATGTAGTTATTTTGATAAAAATCACAAATTGGTATCAGGGGTGAGGAATAACAACCCCAGTTCCCAATTTTTGTATTTTGTTTTGATTGCCCAACATCAGACCATCCACCTCTAACACCCCACGTGGATAAGGGTGGGGCTGTAAGTGGACTGCAGTGCAAACAGACTGCATCCATCAAAACTCAAACTGTGTGTCCACTCTGACCCAGCATACAGCCCATAAATATGAAAAAAAAAAAAGGTAAATGCTCACTGTGGCATTGTCTATATGAAAAGAAACAAAACAGAAACAACCTAGAAGCTCAGTAATGAAGGCTTAGTTAAATAAATTATGCTATATCCATACTATGGAACATCAAGCAAATATTTTTTCAATGACGTATGTACACTACACATATGTAATGATAAGGAAAAATATTTAAAGTTATTCTTAAGTGAAAACAGCAGTTTTCAGCAGCAGTAACTAAAATACACTGAGTGCTTATTAAGTACCAGGCACTTGTGCTAAGTGCTCAAATAATGAATTCATTTCATCTCATAATAATCCCATGACACAGGGTTTCCTTTTACAAAAAAGGAAAAGAAGATACACAAATATTAAGTAATTTTCCAAGGTAACTCAGCTAGTAAATGACAGAAGAACCAGGATTGAAACCAAGCTTATACTCTGATAGTTCAAAACAGTACCAACCAATTGGTGTGTTTCTAAGTATATATATCAACAACTGGCTTATATTTATATATATGTATATATAAAATCTCTGGAGGTATGCATTTTTTAAAAATACACTCTCCAGCCTTGAGAAAGTGAAGAAGAGGGAAAGAGGCTTTTTACATTTCACATAATAACCTTCAGTGCCATTTAAATTCTCTTTCTAAAGTAAGCAAATACTACTTTTATACTTTTGTAAACAATTTTTTTCAAAACTCCTGACCATACAATAAAGATGAACTTTATTCATCTTGTTATTTCAGGATACTCCTCAATTACATAGATCCAGAAACTTCACAAAGTGACAGTCTTTTCACAAAGTGGAATCTTTATCAACACCTAACAACTGCCCGTATTCCTCATCATGGATGTGAGTCAGAAAAGCACTGAAAACTTCCAATAAACACTAAAATTAAAACTAATGTGGTATTTTCAGTTTTCTTACTAGTCTTGCCATTGTTTTCGCTCAGTTCCTATTCTAGACGAGCGCATGTAACTGAGAGCTCAAGCCTGTGCTGTTGGCACGTGTATGACTGTCTGGGCGCCGTCTCACAGACCTCAACTCAGAGACAGCCCAGGCACAGTCGACGTTCCAACACGCACCGTATGTAGTGTTCATTCATCCCCCTCACTGGCAAAACATTTTCTGAGCACCCACTGAGGGTCAAGGACTGTGCTGGGGACAAAACAGAACAAGACAGACAAGGTCTCTGCCCTCTGAAACATATACTCCAGCGGAGAAAAAAGCCAGGAAAAGCTTTATTCTGAAGTATGCACATCTTACTCTGGAGTCACAAGTTAACACATGAATGATTACAAATGTCCTTAAATTGGGATTAAACAGAATGGCATGTGCATGCTTTTTTAAATTAAAGTTTAATTATTATTAATTATTTGAGAAAACAGTGGGATTTCATGCAAAGAACTGTGCGGTCCTGGAAGCATCTATTCTCTGGCAGGCAGGAGGCCGGAGGAGAAATGGCTGGGGCCACCTGAAAGCTAAAACGTACTGAGTGAAAGCTTACTCTGCATCAGTCACTGTGCGGAGGGCACTTCAAATGTATGATTTCACATAAACCTCCCAGTAACCCCAGGTAGAGTATTATCTCCACCTGGAGAGAAGCAAGCAAACTCAGCCAGGCTCAGAAACTTGCCCAAAGACACTCATCTGGTAAGACGGCGGAATCAGTCTCGGATCTCGGCCTCCAGAGACGGCGCCTGAGCTCTTCCCTCTGCCCCAGGCTGGGGCCCGAACAGCGGCAGGCCGCTGATGGAGAGACCTGTGTTTAATCTTGCAGGCAGTGTGAAGGAAGGTTCACAAGACTCTTGAGCAAAGCAAAAAGACCATCTCATTAAGTCTGATGATAATGCCCACCTATAGGAAGATAACTGTCCACAGCGGTGTAATGGCCTGGACCAGGGAACAGGCGGAGTCAGCGGGATCAATCACGACTCAGTCAGGAGTCTTCGTAACTGGAAATGCTCCAAAGCTGAGAGCTCACAGAATGGAGACGGCAACCCAGCCTCCAGATACCCTCCTTCCCAGGGAATTTTCCTTCCTCTCATTAAACCAAGATGTGAAAGAACTGTGAACAAGAAAAAGGTGAACCACACGTCACAACCTAACACGTTTTAACTTCCATCTATCGGAAAAATGTTTTCTCAACTGTGTTAGGTGGAAAGCTGCCCAGAAAGACTCCGTTCAGCCTGAGCCGGACTGAGCAACTCTAACAGATGTGGTGGGACTGCCAGGAAAGGAAACACCCCAGTCTCCTCCTGGAAAAACGGCAAGTGGCAGGGCAAAGGCAGAAGTGTTCTGAATTTCAAACACTATACATGCGATGCTACAATTTTCATTCTTGCCACAATTAAGTCAGCAATTGAGAATGATTTTCTGGGAGTTTCTGAAGGTGCTTAGAATGTGGTATATATGGGGGGAGGTGTGAGTGAGAAATAGAGAAATTCCTTTCCAACGGTAAGTATTTTGGGGGAAGGGAAATGAATTGTATCTCTGTTGCCTATCTTACCACACTTAATCCTCAAAGCCTTCCATCAGCAGTGGATCCAAAACCATCCCTTAGATGGCTTCAGGTCAGTCACTGGCATTCTGTTAGGATTTTAGGACTTCTCCAGGTATGGGAGACAGAATAATGCCCTCCCCATCAAAGATGTCCACATCCTAATCCCTGGAATTTGTGAATATGTTACCTTCCATAGCAAAGAGGAATTAAATTGCAGATGGAATTAAGGTTGGTAATCAGCTGACCTTAAAATAGGGAGATTATCCTAAACTATCTGAGTGCGCCCAATGCAATCACAAAGAGCCTTAAAAGTGGAAGATGGAGGCAGAAGAGGGGTCACAGCAATGTGATCTGAGAAGGATTCAACCTGCTATTGCTGGCTTTGAAGATGAAAGTAGGGGGTCATGCGCCAAGGAATGCAAGCATCCTCTGCAAACTGGAAAAGGCCAGGAAACCCAATTCCACTCAGAACTTAGAGAAAGGAACACAAACCTACCAATGCCTTGATTTTAACCCAGTGAGACCCCTATCAGACTTCTCACCCACAGCACTAAAAATTATAAATTTATGTTGTTTTAAGCCACTAAATTGGAAGTAATTTGCTACGCAGCAAACAGAAAAGGAAAACACCAGGCTTGTCCTAATCTTCGATTTTTGGAAATTTTTGTCAATAATAACTACTAATGATTACTTACTAAATTCCAGTTTTCTATAATTCAGGATACTACCAGTCTGTGAACTGTTTGGTACTGGTCCCCAAGGAGATAAGTACAGAAATTTAGAGTTTATTTGTATATAATCTAATATTGCCAGACACCCAATTTCACTTCTGCTGCATCTCTGGCTTGTACTTAAGTCTATTTTTTCCATTTCATTTATCTAGTAATCCTATCGTACTATACAAAAGAATTGCCTGAGACAGACGGAAATTTTATTTTTAAAAAAAAAGGTCGTTTACAGAAAATAAGAGGCAAGCACCGACAGGTTACATCACTTGCTCAAGTTCATATAGACAGTAACTCTCTCATTCACCTCTCCACTGAATTAACAGATATTTAGGAAGAACCCTGTACACCAGACACCAAGGTCCACGCTGGACCTACTGCGAGGAGCAGGACAAGCAGAGAGCCCGGCCCTTCCCGGTGTGAGTCCAATTCGCCTCCGAGTCCCGGGAGTCCCCTACCCGCCTCGCTGGCAGCGCTCCCTGCTGGCTTCCCTTCCAACACCCGTCCCAGGAAGACGCGCGCCAGAGTGTGGACAACGCACGTCCAGCATGTAAATACCCAACAAAAGTACAACAAAGGGAGGGAAAACACCAACCACGCGCTCCGTGCCAAGCTGCCAGCGGGTAGACCGAGATGCACGCGCTGCCCGCTCAACCCCAGATGCCGGGCCCCGCCCCGTCTCTCGGCCCCCCACCCCCGACGCCTGGCTCCGCCCTGACTCCCGCTCCAGCACCTACGGGGGGCTCCGCCCTACCAAGCCGGGTCCCCATCTCTCGGCCGCGCCCCCCACGCCGGGCCCCGCCCCAGCCCCCGGCCCCGCCCCGCGTCGCCGGCGTCGCTCCCGCGACTCACCCTCAGCCGCCCGAGCTCCGCCTTCCGCTGCAGCTCGGAGTGCCGCTCCAGAGCGCTCGCGAAGCCGCCTGGGCGCGTTGTGGGCTCCGTGGAGTCAGAACTCTCGCTCCCGGAGCCACTCTCAGTGCCTGCGCCTCGACAGGGCCGGGAGAAGAGAAACGCTCGCAGGAACTGACGCTCGGCAGTCACGGCGCGGGGCCCACACAGCGCCGCCATGACGGCTTCACCTCTGACTTTTGACCTCTCCGCAAGCGCGCAGGTTACGGGGCGGAGCAACGAGAGCCCCGCCCACTTCCGGCAGGGCACTGACGGCCGGCGGGCGTGGCCTAGTCGATGTGGGGCAGGAGTGTGGCGCCCGGGAGACTGAAGCGGAATCGGTGGACTAAGTCCTTGGTGGCCCTGCTGGCAGCGATCCGCTAGGTTTTGCATGGAGAACATTTTTGTAAAGCGGGAATTCCGTTCTCCTGGGCCTCCGTTAGGCCTTGTCCTGCTGTAAATTCTGGTAGTGCGACGCTTGCTGGCCCCGCCGCCTGCGCGTCCCCCCAGATGACCCCAAGCTCCTTGCCCCACCGCTCTTCTGGTCTTTGCCCAAATATGAGGTTCTCCTTAATTACCCTGTTTAGAATTGGAACCCCAAACACACTCGAGCTCCCCTGTTTTTTTCTATACCATTTAGCACTTCTTAATATGTCGTATGCCAATATCGCCATATATAATATGCCAATTATTGCTTATAGAAGTTTTGTTTAGCGTCTGCTCTCCCAACTTTGTAAGCTCCGTGAGGGCAGGAACTTTGCTGTTGTATCCCCAACACTGGGCACATAGTAGGGCTGATAAACATTTGTGAAATCCTGGATCCAGGTTTGTCCATCTTCGCCTCCTCTGCGGTCTACCCACTTTACAAGAATCATCTTTCTGAGATGCTCTTGTCACCTCTAGAGAGCTACAATCCTTTCTTCTAGGGAATAAGAAATTTCGGAATGTGCCTAAATATCCACCACCAGAGGCCGCCACTCGCTTGATTTTTCTCCCTTCTTTCTTCCAATGTTAATTCCCAGAAATTTGCCCACCCTCTGCAAAACTGAGCCTAACGCTATACTTGAAGTGTTTGCTAATTAAGCGGTCCATCCATCTTCTACCCAGCATATTTATACTAATCCGCAATTATGGGCCGGCCCGTGGCTTAGCGGTTAAGCTCACGCGCCCCGCTACTGGTGGCCCCAGTTCCGGCGCGCGCTGAGGCACTGCTTGTCCGGCCATGCTGAGGCCGTGTCCCACATACAGCAACTAGAAGGATGTGCAACTATGATATACAACTATCTACTGGGGCTTTGGGTGAAACAAAAAGGAGGATTGGCAACAGATGTTAGCTCAGAGCCGGTCTTCCTCAGCAGAAAGAGGAGGATTAGCGTGGATGTTAGCTCAGGGCTAATCTTCCTCACAAAAAATAAGTAAATTAATAAATAAATAAATAATCCGCAATTAGTTATTTGGGGAGGAGGTGCAGCACCTTTCCAGTTAATAGGCAAGTACTTAGAAGGAATTTTTATGTATGGCCACAGCCCCTACTTTAATAATGGCTTTTTCTATGACTTTTAAATCTTTCTGATGTTCTCATCAATTGCATTGACAGTATACAGGACACTAGAAGCACACTAACCTTGGAACGATGCAAAATTGTATGAATCACATACGATTTTTATCACTAGGCAACTGTGGGATAATCCTTACAAATTCAGCAGAGAGCTCAAGATAAGTTCTACTCCAGGTGAGTTCTCCCTCTTGGCACTTAAACTGTTGATTTCCCTTGACCATTAATGTAGTCTTGCCTAAGACATTTTTGGATTATTCTCTATGGCTGTCGCTATTTATACTTCCTTCAGGAAACAGCGGGGTAAATTGTGATGGGCATTGGCCAGCAACCCTAAGAACACTTAGTTCTAGACCTTGACTCCAATCCTGATCTCAGGCGAGCCAATTTAATGTTGATTTGGTTTCCTCACTTGTAAACCCAAGCTGTTAGCCCCTATGCTAAATTTAAGGAAGTCCTTTGTAAACTTAACTAAATCAGTACCTACAGAACAAATGGGATTACTAAGGTCCCAGCTCTGAAATCCAATAAATGTACTATATTCACGTCCTACCTCAGCCAGATGATAAATTCCTTGAGGATTGTGACAAAAGGCATTTTGGGGCAAATCCTGAAGTTTCTAACATATAAGTTTGTATCAACTGACTTAAAAGTTATGCTTAGTCCACTGCCCTTGTTGGGGCAGCAGAAGCATCCACCGAGAGGGACTGTAATCAGCAGATGTCTGCACACTTGGCCTCTGCCTATGCGAGCACCAGCTGTAACATCAGCTCTAACGGCAGTGTTTTAACATCTTCTGGCACCTTAGGGATTCCGATGCTGCTCTACTCCTTGAACGATGCCTTCCTTCTTGCTTTATTAAAAATACAGGCCTCCTTTTTCCTCTATAGCTTGCAAATCGTTAGTACACTCTGCAAAAATATCAGTAATGGTGGATGGCAAGGGAAGTGAACAGAAAATAGTTCAAGTCCAGGCTCAAGTCACCTGGCTGTGATGTTATCTATAAAATGGTGACACTGCTACATCCTTGAGTAAAGAGTTAAAGGAAATGAGTGTAGAATGCCCAGCATTTACTCAATGCTCAATAAACAGTGGCTCTTAGTGGCTAGGTGGAGGTGACCAAGAGATTAGAAATTCATGCCTCTTAAGCATGCAAGAAAACCTGGAAAAAAGGATAGGGCTGGTGATACAATAGGGACATATTAGTGTCACTCTAAAGATAGTCACTTCAGCCACAGAGAAAAGATCATTAAGGAGATCATGTAGAAGACGACTAGGGATGAGCAGTAACATTTAAAGAGTTAGAAGAAGAGAATACCAGAAAAGAGTCAAACGGGAAAACAGGAACAGAGAATTCATCCTAGAAACCAAGGGGAAAACTAAAGCATGCTGAAATAGTGTTCAAGTGAAAGATCATACCTGCCTAAAAAGAGTCAAACAACAAAATGGTGTTTGGTTTTTACCGTGTTCTAGGAAAACCTCCAAATTAAAATCATGACGTTACCAACCAACCTCACCAAGTGACATCAAAATTACACAGCAGAGTTGGCAAGAATTTTAGTCGCCAAATAGCATTTATTTAAGTATGAAATCCTGGCAGGTGATAGGCACATGCAGGCCCTGCCCTCTGGGGGCTTACAAACTGAGAGGGAATTCTCTTGGCTCATTTTGATTCGGGTTCATTTTGATCTCAGAATCAGAATACAGAAATTGTGAAATGTAAGGTTTGCAGGTTTACTTAAAAGTGACAGTTTTATGTTAACTGTAACCCAACATGGTCTCTATAATTAATCCAATTACAATGGGACAGTCCCTAATGAATGGCCAAATGTCTCTTCACTATGGGCAAAAATCTGACCTTTCATCTGTCTTAAGAGCTATAAAGAAACATGTGATCCTGACGTGGGGCCTTATACAGCATCTCCTCTGGCACATATACAGCAAACAGTCACTTCTAAATGCCTTTTGGTAGTCAGCATGTAGCTTTCCAGTTTTCCTGGACATACTGAATCCGTATAGCTGCTTATGGTTCTTTCTGTATCCAGGATATGAAGGGTCTGGAGAGAAGTTATAATGGACTCACTTGTTTCCCCGACAGGTCATACATACAAAAGAACCCATTCCCAAATTATAGAATTTTTATTGTTTTCAAATACTATACAAAAAAAATAGTATTTCTTGATTAACAGATCCAGAAATAGTGATTCCAAATTAAGCATGTTTTTTCTCTATTTCAATAGTTTCTTTGAGTTACTAAAATGATAACCCAATGAGATCTCCTTTCTTCCATTGATTACTTTAGCCTCATAAGCGTAAGAATTCTTGCTTTCTTTCCCACGAACTCCATAAATTAAGGACATGCCTTTGTAAAGGGGGGATAATTTCAGGGATTATTTTCATCCATCACACTTCTTGAATCCTTAAATATCCGAGATTTCTCTCCAAGTTGCTGTTTCCTATAGTGTCAAACACAAAACACAAAAGAGGGACCAGGACCTCTCTCCAGTGTTCTTAGTAATTACCATCTTCCAAATTTCTTAACTATCTGTGAATTCGTAATATTGAATCTTCCACCAAGATCATTTTGAATAATATTTCTAAATCCGTGTTTACTTTTCTAAATTTATCCTCCCTCTACCTTTTGCTACTTCTTTTAAGAGGCAGAGTACTTTGCAAGAGATGAAATCGTTTTTGGATTAAGTGTGGGCAGATGTCTAGAAAAGTGATTCTCTGATTTCTTCTTTTACAACCATCACCAATACCCACATACACCCATTCCATTTCCCACTCCTGTTTCTATCATTTCTCCCCATAGAGTAAAGAGATTTGAGGATATTTCACCCAACTAAAGAAACTGCTATCTTACTCCATTCTGCCTTGTTGAAAAGAGAGTAACAGGGCAGGACACCCAAGAAACAACGTGATGAAAAGAAGTTGTTGTGATTAAAAAAAATTGAAAGACTAATTGGTAGAAAAAATAATTTAACAGTTACGTTGAGTAACCACAATATTTCTATAAAAAGACAAATTCTACAGATCCACTCCTCCAGGACAATGCTTCAAGAATCTTTGCCTTAAAGCCTCTCCAAGGAAATAATTTATAATGTTAGTCTGATACCATTAAGTAGTGATTTAAAGCAGACGGTTAAAAAATTTCCTTTTTTTTAGCATAGACACCAGTTGATTATTTAATACAACAAGCTGTTTCCAGACCACTGGTCTCATAATAAATATTGAGACCTATACTACTGATATACAGAATTTATTAAGCTTTTCACATGTAATGGAGCATAGTTTCAATTGTATCTAACGTGCTAACAGAAGCTCTAGCAATTAAGAACGGCAGCATGTTATTTTATAACAATCAACACTTGGGGCTTTTCAAATTTGGTTTTCATAAGATAACTTATCCTGAAGTAAATCTAGTCATGCTTTTAAAAAATGCTTTAGGTCACTCCAAGCTTGGCAATTAACATTTGGCATAAACAATAATAAAACAATCACAACTTGATAAATAACAAATACAACATTGTAGGCCATAACCATATACAGCATAAGGAAAAGGTAGTGGTGACGAGTAAGTAGCTATTAGAATTAAGAGAGTACCTTGGCCTCCAGGCAGAAACTTCCAGAGGCTTTGGTTCAGTCAGCCCTGACACTCAGTTTTCAAAGTAGGAGAAAATGTCTACAGTATCATTTTGTAATTTCTAACACACTGAAAACAGATAAGTAGAACATAAGTTGATTTTTATTAATGCATTAAACCCTCAGGAGTTATCACCAACCCCTTAGTATAAAAAATTTTCAAGTTATATTAGTCATATAACTTTGTGTGCTTATTTTAAATGGTACTAAATGAATTAAATGAAGACACAATGTTTCCCCGAAAGTGATTGATTTTTGCAATTTTACAACTACTGAGATCTAAAAAACTTTCAGGCTTTTGAATTGAACATTGATGAGAGTGTGTTCCTGTTTCAACCTACTGACAATACAATATGCTTAATTCAGAATGGTTTTTTTGTCAATTTACTCTGAAACTAAAATTTTAATCTGGTGAAAAATAATTTGATATAAGTAGCATAATAACGAATACATTGAAATAGTTACTGTCACAAATGGTGATAAACAAGGATGTGACAATTCCACAATTTAAATCACCTAGGAGTTGAATTACCATACATATTGTCACTTAAAAACTCTAACACATTGGATGTAGAGCTGATTTATTTAGTCTCGTGTCTGCAGACACCCAAGACATAAGCTACCTTGTACCAAAACAACGTTTATTCAAAAATATTTTTTGTAAAATTTGTAGCTGGCAGTTCTTCCCATGGAGGTAAAGAAAATTATGCCAAAACTTTTAATAACCAGGATTCATAAATTTTAAAAGAACAATTTTAGTTAGGAATCAAATATGCAGAGGTTCAAAGAAGGAAAAAAAAAGAAAATCATATAGAAGACAAAGATCAAACCGGTATCCCAGATCCAGAACAATTTTGTAAAGTAGTTATGATAACCTGCAGCTTCTCAGATCATTCTAGTGAGGGTCTCCAGGTACTACATGTGTTTTTATAATGGTGTTTCCCAAAGAAAAGGCTCTTAAATGCACATTAGAGGGTGTTCCCCAGGAGTAGAGCTGAAGACATTGTTTTGTTCAACCCACAAACTATTTGGTCAAAGGAATATGTAAAGCTAAACAAAAGCACATCTGGTGGAAATTCATGGCGATGAATGTTGACAAGATGTGCCTGGGTCTCGCTTGCAGCATCTGGCAGTGGGTAGCCGAACACAGGTGGGACTCTCACAGGCTCTCCTGTGTCTGTTCTGGAAGAGGCTCCGTGGCAGTGGCGCTAGCATTTGCAGTCGAATTCAAGACTTCTCCAAAATCACCGCCAGCAGGCTTGGTTCCCCCTACTTTAGACTTTTTAAAAAGTTCAAAAAAGAAAAGACATCATGAAACATAAACTTAGCTGATTCTGCACAAAGTAACTCTAATTCTACTTGGAAGGACAAATAAATCAGGAACCTCATAGCTCAGTGATTATTATATATGTACAGAATTTAGTACTGTTGTAATGTTCAGTGCAGTTTAATAGAAAAACTTACAGTCTTCCCTGCTGAAATACTCAGACTGGTAAACTCTACCCCTCCTCTTCTTTCCCTGTCTGCTCACTGTTCTTCACAGGGAAATTTGTCTGAAGAACTCGGTGAGACTTATTCTAAATGATCTATTGGACTCTATATTTGGGTAACACTTTGTATTCCATCAAATTGTTCATTCAGCTACACTCATCCAAGAAATATTATTGAGTGGAACAAAGGAAAGAAATACATGTACTTTTCCCAGTTACAGTGTTAAGCTTTCTAACCCTTTGCTACTTAAAGTGTCATACAAGGCCCTACAGACTCATCAGCTGGGAGCTTGTTAGAAATGCAGAATCTCAGACCGCCTCCCCACCTCCATCTACAAAATTGAAACCTACACTGTAACAAGATCTCCAGGTGCTTCCTATACACGTTATGGTTTGTGAATCGCTACTCCAACTCATCTGGCCTGAAATTTTATCAATAAACATTTGTTTGAATCAATAAATCTTACATTTGTGTAATATATTATGCTTTTCAAAACCCTTACACGTCACTTCATCCTTAACAATGCTGATGTATCTATACTCTCTCTGTGTGTTACATCTCAGGACTGACCAACAGGATAGCTGACTAACATTAAGACACCAGTTAATGACCAAGGATGCAACTTATAGTAGGTTTAACCTGACCTTACTCCTAGCTCAATCTTAACTGACTGCCCGAGACTCACTAACAATTGGAATCTAGTTAAAATTCTCTCTTTCTCGTTCTTTTCGGTCTCCCATCCAAAATGTTTGAGTTGTTTGAAAATTTTACATAACTTGTATCCACTGTATATCTATTAAATGTATTAAAACACATTCCTTAATTATAAGAATATGTTAAGACCCTTACAATTCAACATGTCTAAAACTGAACTCCTCCGCCCCACCACTGGGCCCTTCTCTGTTTTTTAAGACTTTCAATGGCAGTAGCACCTCCAGTCAGACACCTGGGAGTTATACTGGATCCTTCCCCCTCTTCTTCCACATTCACGCAATCACTAAGTTTTTGTCTGTTATTTCGAAATCCTAAATCTCTCTCGACTTGGTCCCACTGGCACAGACCTAATTCACTCCACCACCATCTTTGGCCTGTATTACAACTCCTTCCTCCCAGCTCCTTCCCCCTGTCTCCAGTCTTGCTCTTAGATCGCCAGGGCAGCGAGTGATCTTTCTAAATGCACAAAAGAATGCGCAACTTGGGCTGTTTAAAATCCTTCAATGGCTTCCCATTGCACTAAGTCCAAATTTTGTAACGTGGCCCACCCATCTCTCTAGTTTCATCTCCTGCTCAATACCCTAACGCACAGCCAAGCTCTTGGTGTTCCTCAAAGGCACCCCAAAGCTTCAAACATTCCCCTCAACCTAAAGGCCTCCATTTATATCATCGCATCCTCTGAGAAGCCCTCTCTGACCTTCCCTCCTGCCAAGCTATGATAGAGGTTCCTGCTACTGGTCCTCATCACACCCATGACTTTCCCTTACCTCACTTTATTTTCATTGGCCATCTAATTGTCTAAACATCTTGCAGAAAGGGTCTGTGTCTCTCTTGCTCACCATGGTATCTCCAGTGCCTGACACTCATCGTCTGGCACATGGTAAATGTTCAATATCACAAATGAATCAATCCAAAATCTAAATGTAAGGACATGTAGATCACGTATTTAACTGAATATAAATGTAATTTAATAAAACTAGATCCCAAGCATACAACTATATTTTACAGCTTCCTTGGGGATATCTGTTTAATATACTACTATACTTTTTAAAACTACATGTTTTTATCTGAATGGTGCCTAGTCATACTTCAAAAGCAGATTTCACCACAATTTATAGAATCTTAATATATTCAGAAGGGGAGTATATAGTAAATGACCTGGAAGTTTCTCCTCATCTTCAAAAAGAACATAGATTGTCTGGTTTTCCAATCAGTCATTTCAAAAACTAATGCTTAGGACAGACTTCCAGGGAAGGCTATGACAGTTCTAAAACATTGAGAACTGAATTATAGTAAGCCTTGACTTCCTGAAATGGAGAGTTTGTTTTCACATACATGACTAGGCATTAAAAAGAATAAAGCAGGTCTCTTGTCCTGACCTAGAAGAATGACTATGATACATTTTTTGCACATCAAATACATATTACGTAGCTGTAACGTGCCAAGGACTATTCTAGGCCCTTGAGAAGCATCAGTGAGCACAAACAACAGCTTCCTGAGTTTGAGGGTTCACAGAGCATACATGCTAGTGGGGGCTGAATGAACAAGGACTGTGTGTACAGTGTGATCCCTTTTTGAAAATTTAATTTATATATACATTTATGTAGACACAGAAAAGGTGTGTATTAGCATTTGTATGTGCAAGAAAAAAGATCCAGATCATGGTACAGTGTTTCGTTTTCTTCCACAAGCATACCCTGCTTCTGTAATTTAAAAAAGATGCATTTAAAAATAAGGGACTCAATTACAATTCTGAAAGACTAAATCTGAATATTTGTTCTTAAGCTGATTTATATAAAACATTTAAGATATTAGTTTTAATCCTTAAAAAATATCCACAATAATTATCAGAATCAGTTTAGGAAGAAATGAACATATTGGCTTGGCACCATCTCCGTAGAGAAGGCTGGGCAGTGGATGGGAACTAGACAACCTTTCTGCTCACTTGTGCTCCTAAGAGTTGATGATTTTATAGTTTTGAATAAAATCTTGAAGATAATATAACTTACAAATTAATAAAGCTAATCATTACAGAAAAATGTCTACCTTCACTGAAATCGAAGCAATCAAAAAATAGAACAGTGAATCATCAATGATGATCACCACAGCATCATCATCATCATCAAAACGTCCAATAACTGAAGATGAAACAAACAATATCCACGATACGGCACGTGCAAGCAGCCATCAAACGCAATATTGAGGACGAATACGTAATGATATAGGAAAATGTTTATGCGTATGGTTCTTTCGCAAAGCTTAACAGCACCATCCTCCTACATACACATATCACTGTCTCTGGGTGGGAGGACCAATTTTTATTGTGTATTATTTTTTGTGCTTTTCTATATTTTTAATTTTCTACAATAAAATTTATATTAAATGTTGTCCAATTACAAGTGTATTTGAAGTAAATAAAGCAAAAAGCGGCACAAGCTCCTAAAGTACTACTGCTTTTTAAATGACACAATTCCCGTCAGCACTTATCACGCTGCCAAGGCTACAACGTACACCCAAAAAAACTGATTGAACGAGTACAGATCACCTTAAATATCCATCAGTAATGTAAAGAATAAAGTTATTAAAGTTCTCTAAATATTTTTAGAAAGAAATACTAATGTGAATGATTTACCCACAACAAAGAAAATTAAGTTACCAAGGAAGATACCATCACAAAGACCTATTCATCTCTCTACTTGCCTTTAAGTTTTCGACCTTTTCTTCAAATGATTTGAAAGTTGGGGAGTTTCTATGGAGAGAAAAGAAAACCAAATAGTAAAATTACAACTGAAAAAAAACCATCAATTTTGAAAACATCATTAGTTGATTGTACTCCTCTTCACCATTATTCTCAATCAGCAGAAAAACAGATATATTTATCTGTACCGTGTGTACAGGCATACACACAACTATGTGTTATTATGTAAGATGATCAATTTCTGTTCTAAGACTTCCACAATGATGCTTTTGATTCCACGAACAGAGCCCATCTCAGAAATGCGTGGTATAGATATAACCAAGTCCATGTATGAGGAGGGGGAACAAAGCCAGGTAAAACATCAATTCTGTCCCTTCTCCACCCAACTAATCACGCACATGCCACCATTAGATCAGTTTAATTCTGGTTAAGGCACTATGCTCTAGAACTCCTGTGTAAATTCAGAGGCAGCCTAGCAAGATTCCCATGTGAACCCACGTCACCGAGCAGGACAAGCAGACCATACGAGGTTCCATAACAGGGATCCCGGTTCACATAAACAGGGAAAGGAGAGACCGAAAGGAAGGGAGGAGCACAGAAACGTGGCTTTGCCTACTTCACACAGCTGCCCCACTGACAGTAGCACTCAGAGCCCACGAGAAGCCAGCCCACGAGAAGCCGTCCCACGCCTTCACACTCACCCATATGAATTAAGGAGGATCACAGCACCTACGTCGCTCACACCTGGCTTTCTGAAGCTTTTACACCATCCACCTGACCTCGAATAGCCTTCCTACCACCAAGATGAAATAGGTGAGGAAGGGCACAAGGGGTTTCCTCCTTCCAACAGTGGTGATGGGCAGCGGTCCCAAAGTGTGGTCCCCAGACCCGCTGCATCAGTAGCTCTTGGGAAGTTGTTAGCAATGCAGATTCTCAGGTCCCACCCCAGGCCTACAGAATCAGAAAGCAGGGGTGGTGCCCAGCAACCAGGGGGCTTTAATGAGCCCTCCAGGTAGTTCTGATGTACACTCAATTAAGCCAAGCACATGTTGTTCAAAATCCTCTGCCTCTCTAGAAAGGTGTGGTGAGACAACATGAGCCCCTGGCAAGTGCTTACTGACGAAAGAGGACAGGAGAAGTAAGCCCCAGTTGGCTCCAAATGTCACAATGGGATGAGGGAAGTGGAAGTAGGGGGAATGGAAGAAAAGGGGGGCATAGCTACAGCGAATGCAGACAGAGGTGGTGGGCCACCTACATCCACGAAAAGAGAAGGTTTGTTAGATGAGTAGTGTTCACTTTTTCAATTAAGCTGATTTCAGATATGAAACAATTCAATAGGTGTACAAAATAAAATACAGATAATTGTCTTTAAAAAAAGAATCATAAACAGTTAATGGATCTCTTGCATCCCTCCTAACATTACAGGCAGAGCAACTGAAAACTGATATAATGTTAAATGTGTAGCTTGTTTAGAGTAGAATTCTAGTACCCCACTTCAGAATAGTTCAAGTTAAACATCTAAATAAACAATAAGAAGGCATAAGATGAACTACATTTCGTAACAATATACTTTACCTCATAGCAGGCATGCTAATTGAATGCTGAATGGAGCGTATACTAAGAGGCAGCATTAAAGAGAGACAGAAATGAAGTTAGTATAGTGGTGATTAGACATTTATAAAAAAGCAAACACAACTTAGCTTTCTAAGAGCTTGTTCCTTTGGCACCATGAAGAATTATCTACTTTTTTGAGGTGGAGGGGATCAAAGCTTTTCCAACATAACTTGCTTTCATTCACGAGCCAATTTAACCCCAGTAGTTAATAGAGCTAATCATTCAACCTTGCGTTTTTATAGCACTTTGCAAACTGTAAAGTGCTTTGACCTGTATCTGTAAGGCATCTAGCACCAAGGCTCAGAAGTTAAATGATTTACCCAAGGTCACAGCAGAATCAAGAATGGAACTTGGGTCTTCGGGACTTCAATTCAATGTTCACCACCTCCCCTCAAAAAATAAAGCACACGCACACATGTACACACACCACAAGCAAGGCCAGTGAAGGCCACATGTTCGTTACCAAGCCAGAACAGGAAAGTTTCAAAATAAATCGCCTATTTGACAACTTTAAGTGATTTAAAGATCTCTCCTTAGTGGTAGTAGGATCAATTTTCTAGTAAGAGACACTTGTACTTCATCCCAATTAAGCTAAATGTCTTGAATGGCCATTCAGATAATATTCAGCCCCCTGCTTTACTAGGATCAACTTCTTATTCAAGGGCAATGCAGTTCATGGACTGTTCAGGTTCAAGGTTATCTACTCTCAGCTGTCTCCCATAGAGATCACCTTACAAGATGAAAGCACCTTAATTCTTGGGCTCATAAAGTCACTCTATCCTCCTGATACTGTTACTACGCTTACAATATTTTGATCGATACAGCATTTTTGGTAAATAATCTTTCCTTTGGGTAAGTTGGACAGTCCAAGGTATTCTCAATTATATTTAAATATTGTGTGTATGATTTAGTTCTCTCAAAGACTCAGTTGTTACAAATGACAACGTTTCAAGTGTAGCTCCCCAAATCTAGTTTTGCTTTAATATGTAATAATATGGAGTATGATCTTGATACAAATCAAAATATGCTGGCAGTTCATGTAATCAAGGTAATCAGTAAAATATTTGGACATCTTTCTACTTAATGTCATACATAACACATGTAACAGGAAAAGATCCATGTAGCTCATCATTCTCTCTATTCTATAACACTGGTAGATATCTTGGGTATAAGACTATAATCTATTTCGGGAGGAATTTGCTAATTCTTTTCCTGCTTGATCTTTTGCAGTATACTGGATCCACATTTGAAGGACAGAGATTAATAAAAATCATCCTTCTTTGTTTACAATACCTGAATTGCAAACATTACCTGCCCTTCCTTAGACCCTCCTAAAGACGCTGCCTGTCTAGCCACATTGCCCCAGCCACCTTCTCTCAATATGATAATTGCATCACTAGAGCTCCACCCACCACGGCTAACCTCTTTGTGATCTACAAATTGTTTGGACTGATGGAAAAAAAAAAAAGAGTTCAGACAAGTAAGATTCTTATCCTGGGATTCTGTAATTAGGACACTAAGCCACTGGTCAGTTGGCGGTAGGACTTGAGCTAGAAAGTCATGTGGGCTTTGATGTTGAGGAAGACAGTTTTGGGGATCAGGTACAAGCTGCAAGAATGCAGAAGAAGCCAGTTCCCAAAGAAAGGACTGAATATGAGCACAGAGAGAAGCAGAGAAAATTAGGGAGCGACGACCATGCAGGAAAGAGGGCTCAGTGGAAGAGGAACAGGTTTCTTGGTTTCTAGAAGCTACCTTGATTTCTAACGGCTTTCCAATCAGCAGGACTGGGCTGGGTGGGGGGCTGCTTCCTTTCCTCTCTTTGGATCCCAAAAGAACTTTCTTTGTGTGCAACACATTCCCCTTTTTTTATTTATTTATTTATTTTTTTCCCCCAAAGCCCCGTAGATAGTTATATGTCATAGTTGCACATCCTTCTAGTTGCTGTATGTGGGACGCGGCCTCAGCATGGCCAGAGAAGCGGTGCGTGTGTGCGCGCCCGGGATCCGAACCCAGGCCGCCAGCAGCGGAGCGCACGCACTTAACCGCTAAGCCACAGGGCCGGCCCACATTCCCCTTTTTAGGTGAGCTAACTTACATAGTTTTCTGTTCCTCATAACCAAAAGACTCTTCACTAGAACATTCATTTTGGCAGAAATCACCCAATTCTGGCAAAAGAAGGTGAGTAATGGCCGAATGTGTGATAAATTGCTTACCAGGACTCACACATTGAATTCAATAGTATGAACGAAATGAGGAAATGGGTGGATAAGGTAAGTACAAATTTCAGAAATGCACAGCTAATTCTAGTCACTGTCCCTAAGCACCCACATAAAAGAGGATTTCCTCCAATGGCCATTTGGTGGGTTCTGAGCCCCTTTAACCAGCACACAAGCTAGTTAAGAGGGAACAGGGCAAAGGCAGAGTGAAAGGAATGATCATAAACATGAATTCTAGATATAAAGTTGACTGTAAATTCAACATCCAGGGCAAGAATTAACTCAGGATCATCCTACATAAGAAATAAATCCTGAGGTCGTAAAAGCTGAAAAATCAAATTGTAAAAGTCACCTGGAATTATCAGGGGATGGAGAATAAAAACAAGAAGGTAGAGGAGAGCTATGCATGACTCTAATCACGGAATGTTCCCCTGACGGGTGAGAGATGGATGGAAGTGGAGCATCCATGCGAGGGACCTCAGGAGGAAGAGGAAACTGACAAACAGGAGAAGACAATCAATCACGTGAGAAATACAATTTTTTTTAATATTTGTTTTTGTAGTATTACTACAGGAAAGGACTACCAATACGCTTCCAAGAAAACCAAGGCAGAAGTTGATCATTTGGGGCATTTAAGTTATTAAGTCCCTAGCAGGTGCCAATGATGTTTGTGATGTGACTTAAAGAATATTAAAAATGATCACTGAGAATTCTAAGAAACAGTGTAGCACCTCTTGCAAAGGACTTTAGGGTCCTTTACAGGATTATAACAAAATCATACCTGCTGGTGTTGAGTTTCAATTAATAGCTAAGGCAGATGAAGAATTTAAATCTTTGAGTGCCATGAAGAATACAGCCACTAAATATGTTTAGCGTAAATACATAAGAAAAAGCAAGGAAGTGATTACAATAAGATGTTTATTTTGTAATAAATCACTGAGTTCTGAGTTTGGTTTTGAGCACTCATTCTATACGTTTTATATTTCACAATAAGAAAAGATTAAAAATATGCCTACTAAACAAAGAATTAAATGAATTAAATTCATACAGTTAGATACAAAGTCAAGGTCTGCCCTACTTTCGAGGTAGCCATTTCAGTAGGAACAAAAAGTACATATCAATTCCAAGTCCATCCAGTTATCTGAACTTTTCTACAATCCATATTTAGATGAAATCCCATTTTGCTGGTGGCTAGTCTGTAATCTAACTAGAGGGCAGCTG